CGAGAATTACCTTTTTTTCCTCAAACGTGTAGTTGACCATGTGCATATTTTCCTACACTATTGGACAGTTGCTGTTAGACTATATATATGGTCGCTGAACTACCGCGATGCTGTTTGAAATTTCTTCGGAGTCTTGATGATAAGTTCGTGTCATTTGTGGGGATATACACTGAAAGCGTCGTGAATAGCGAACCCCTGCACTCTAGTGTCAAATTTTTCGAATTCACCTCACGATTTTCATGCCTGTTTTAAAAAAGTGAATGTTGTCTCTCAGTTCCTCTACGTGCGGTCGGCTGATGACTGGTATTCCGTCATCGCCGACCTCCCCACGGGCGGAAAGCTCCTCCTCGGCCCCGCACCTGTGTTCGCGGTAAGTTAAATCTGAGAATGTCCCATGCTGCTGTCACGATGTGTGAATCAACTGTGTTTTGGTATCAACATTAATAACTTTATTGGAGTTTCAACCGCGATATGAAAAACATAATTCACGACTACTGCGTAGTGTGAATATCGCGTTTTCCGCGGAGTTTTACACCAGTTCACGTAAAACGGATGAAACTCTAATAAACTTCTGGTGACAGCCGTACTGTGAACACTACTACAATTTAACGTTAAGTGAATCCACATTGTCGCTACTCTTTGCAATAGAAGTACAACTCCTGGGGTATGTAGTGTGAAGGACTTCTCCTGCTCGGAAATCCCAAGCTGAATTGAAATGTTAGAAAATTCCACCAAGCCGCTGTGAATGTGACCACAACAATGGTGAAGTTCTCGCTCGACTCTGTCTTAGTATGTAGGCGTGAAACTGTCACAGTTTTTGGAGAGTGTACTCGTATCGTTGTAGCGAATAGCGTATTGATAAATCATGTTCCAACTCTTAGTGAGTGACGCGAAATAAAATTTCTAGACTATTTTCCAAATAAATTTGGAGCACTGTATTAGAAGCAATATTGTGCGGCGTAAAACCCAGGCTTCCTGTCAATCCCCCTTACTCGGCGTTCACCAATATTCGTTCTAGTGTGGATACTATGAGATTTTATCGGTACTTTTCAGTCGATGCGTGAAGCCCTGGTGGAAAAGGCAGGGGTGACAGTATTTGTTAGCACACTGAACAGGGAGTTTGGAAACTCTTCGGTGGAGTCGCGGTCATTCCCCATGATTGATTTCGTCTCGCCAGAGTTGCACACTGTGGAAGCCGCTGTCGAGTGAGACAATCAGTTGATCATAATCTCACCATTTTACATCAGTTACATCGATGAACAGTTAGAAGCTGGCAAGTGTGTTTACGTCCATTGTAAAGCAGGGAAAGGGAGGTGAGTTACCGCACCACTCAGTTGAATAGTTTTATCGCTAATTATATGAAATTTACATACAAATCCATGTAGAAGTGTACACGAAATATTCCCCAAAATTTGCATATTGTCACCGACACATGTTCATATGCACTTTTTCTCACACTGTGTCAGACGGTCGGCACTCTACAGTGTGAACCAAACCGTTATGCAAATCACCTTTCTCAAGCTAACTTGTCCATTTAGGAGAGTTTATCAATGAGCTAGTGAGAGCAGTCGATCAGGTCTGGCACAATCGTTATTTGTTGGCTTATGCAGCATTTCCGCATGTCCCCTGAGGACGCTCAGGAGTATTTGCTGAAAGCTAGGCCGCAGGTTCTCAAGGTAAACTTTTATTCCCAACTTTACTAAGCTTCATACCACACCTTCTCAATTTCAAGTTCATCGAACGGAATTGGAAAAAAATGGAATTTGTTCTTCCATGTGTTGAATTTGTGATAGAAAAGTGAGTGTCAGTGTTGGAATATATGTTCGCTATCCTCAGCTGAGTCTAGGAGCTTACTCACTAATCGTACGGGCTTATATATACTGCGTAGGGATGAACAGAAACCAATGAGAATTTCCTGAAGAATTTTCCAAATTTCCATATTGTCACCAACGCATGTTGTCGAGGATGTGCATATTCCCCCCACACTGGGAGTAGTAGTATGTGGTAGGGCTAAATAGTATGATATTATGAATATGAAGATGTCTATATTATATTGGAGTTTCACAACCCGTTTTATATGAAGTACTTGGTGAAAAACGCGATATTCGCGGTGAGATGCAGTAGTCGTGAAATATGTTTTCACTAGTGTTTTTCATATCACTAGAGTGGTGAAACTCCATTATTGTATTTTCACACTTATATATATAATAACTAATATGTGTCTCGCGCACGGCTAAGGCCGGTGTGAAAATGATGAAGAATAGATCAATTGACAATCTTCTGATTATCATTATCACTGTCGCGGTACAAGGCGAACGATGTGATCCACCACAGGGCAGCCTCCCAAAACACCTCTAGCAATGTGAATAATACTCGTATTATAGTAGTTGACATGTTTAAAGGTCCACTCTCGTGAAATATAATAGAGTTTCACCCATTTTACGTGAAGTGGCAAAATGCTCTATAGAAAAACCGACATTCGCGCTATACAGTAGTCGTGAAATGTGTTTCACTAGGGTGGTGAAACTCCAATAAATGAATCATCATGATAATAACTACTAATATTGAGATTATGATGTATAACATTTTACCGTATCGTCAATGATTGTTGTTGTTGGCAGCAGATCTGATTATCGGATTTCGATATAGCGTATACTAATAAGTGTTTCATAGTAGGTTCTCTACAAACGAGAAGTGGTACGAGAATACTATGAGAAGCACGTTGCTGTTAATAAATAATGCTTCTATCACTCGTTATACTGTTGAGGATATTAGTGGAGTTTCACGACAAGATTTACGCTGAAGTGGTGTGAAACGGGGTATGCAGTAGTCGTGAAGTATGTTTTCCACTAGTGTTTTCCATATCATCAGGGTGAAACTTCATTATAACGTGGCTGTGGAGTACGAGATACGAGTCAGACTCGTGAATGCCGTGAGAGAACTGAATCCTAATGACCCAATACCACTAGTCAAACACAAAGACACGCCTCGTATCGAGAGCAATAGTGTCAGGATTAGATAGGTTAACAAGAGTTATTAACAAGTAGTTCTTAACTTATGATCAATACAGTAATCATTGAGTATACGCTAGGCTAGCAAGGGGGACAAGTAGCGGAGGAAAAACTGTATCGCAGTTTTTCTATAGGTGAAACCTCGACGGAGAGTGCCTGCCCACATCGGGATAGTGCGGATCTCCCAGCGCTGAGGCGGCCGAGAACTTGCCCGTTTCATTCGATCATGTCCAGAGTGTGCCAGCCTCTACAAAGAACACGAGCTATACTCGGGTCTTTGTTCATATTTTTTTCCTTTGCTTTTTGCTTCTCTTGATTTCTTTCATTTAAACCGAGGTCTAGCGAGAGGTAGTTGTTCATCTCTGGCCTTGTTTGCGTTAGAAAATCGGCCACGAGAGATCATCCACCTTGCAGTTGCCGAAAGCCACAAATCACGGACCCAGTTTACGGCTTCCGTGTTGTGGTTCTCGACCACTGCCCCTCCCGAACTCGCAGATCAGAGGTTTCAATCACAAGAATCTGAAAGTCTTAGGAGACACTTGTGTACAACATTTGCTCACGAATAGTAATCTGTAGCATTATCGGGTCAAGTTAATTCTCACCGTGAAATGTTAATGAGAAGGGTTAAGCATTAAGTATATGAGTGAAAAACAAACTATTGGCAAAAAAGTTATTTGACCTGGAAACGCTGTAGAACCTAAAGGTAATGTTTTAGCCGTCAACTAGAAGTAGTACAACATCGATTGCGATTAGCGTATAAGGATCACAAGTACGTAGGGGAATATTTTGGGATGGTCAAAGACAGCGTTTCTGAAGTTGCTGATTAGCGTGAGAGTGTCAGTTCAACGTCCTCCTCAAGTTGATGCTCGGAACCACGCAAAAAACCGGATGAACACATGTGGGAAGCATGATCAGTTAACTCTGATGAATGGGGTGCATCCAGAGAGCAGCCCGCAAGGAGTTGCGTGCACCTCCACGATATTGCTCAATTTTTAGAAGTTGGCGAGGTTCCCTCCACTGAGTTTCAGGAGCACTCCCAGAATCGAGTTCTGAATCCAATCCTGTGATCGCTCATGAAGCTCAGGGGAGGTCTATCGTACACGCCGTTGGAAGACCACTGTTCACTAGTAGTGAATCGCTACTGTTTAGCAGCCGCGCTCACAGAGTCAGTGAGTTTGCAGTGCAGAATAGAACACGTAGTTCTAACAGAGCGTAGTAGAACCAGTAGTCCCAACAATTCTAGTCATCATAACAATAACAATATTGTGGTCGGATCTTGCGATGGGGCGCGCGCGATCTGCAGGCTCGCCAAAAACGTATTCACGAGTCACTTCGCTCCGCTAAGAAACACTCGCGCGCGCCCCGGTAAAAGGTTTGTGAATTTCTTCGGAACCTGCAACACGTGCCGAGGGCAGGTGGCATTATTATTACCTTTGCTGCCGACTTGTTCTTTTCCCTATATCATGCCGGCTGTCGGGAGGAACACTAAGATGCAGCAATGGCTGAACTATCGAGTCAGAGTCACTCTTCACGACGGCAGAATTATGGTAGTAGTAATTAGTCGTTAATAGTTGGAAATCGGCTATGGTCAGATCGGACAGTTCATGGCTTTCGACAAGCACATGAACTTGGTTTTAGCCGACACTGAGGAGTTCCGAAAAGTAACGCTGTTTTTGAAATTGTCTTAATGTGTATATGAATGCACAGGTCCGATCTAAGGGGGAGTCGGGTCTCGGTGAGGAGAGGGAGGTGAAGCGGATGCTTGGGCTGCTGGTACTGGGCGTAGTAAGGTTAGTCGTGGTTGTATTTTCATCGCAATAGATTTTACGTGGGGAAAATATTATATCGATGACTGCTGAGGCGCCGCCGCCAAATGTGAAGAAGAGTGAGGGGCCTTTGGTAGTGCAATGACGATGGTAACCCCGTCTCGGGCGAGTTTGGCGTTTTAGGCTGGGCCTGGTCGTGGACATGCAGCTGGTCGCGGTGTACCAATCGCGCCCTTGGGTCAGGCACCTCAAGGCCTTACTGGACCGGTACCACTCCTTCTTCACATCGTCTTTGAATCACCCTCTCTTCTCGACAGATACGTGGTGTAGGTGGCCCTGCTCCTGCCCAAATGGCCCCTGGTGCCCCTCCAGGTAGGATGGAATCTTCGTAGTGCGTACGATGGTATCTTTGATCGATTAGGAATGCCACCAATGCCTGGCTTCCCAGGGATGCCTCCACCCCCTCCTGGAATGATGCAGGGCATGCCCGGGGTAAGATAGTACCACTACTGCTGCTTCGCTCCGCTCAAGATTGTATCTATTTCAGCATCATTGAGCGGTAACGTGAGTCGACTTGGAAAGTATCTTTGATGATCTGGAAAGTAGACAAACTCGAAGGAGTCTCTGAAAGCAGTCTGTAGTGTTGTAGTGATGAATTACGCAGTCGTACAGTACTACTACTCCTACTTTTCTCCCCATGTTCGGCGGTGGTGACCTCGGTGGTTTCGGTGGCTATGGAGGCTTTGGAGGTAACAACGTAATGCAGCTCGCCTAGTAGACGTGCTACCTGTGATAGAATTATACTAAATATGATCATCATAATGGAGTTTCACCACCCTAGTGATAGGAAAAATATATTTTCGAATATCGGGGTTTTTCCACAGAGTATAAGGCTACTTCACGTAAAACGGGTGAAACTCTAATCTCCTCAAGGTTTCGGTGCCTCTCAAGGAGGAGGCTTTGGTGGTGGTGGCGCTGGGATGACCCAGAGTATGGCCGGGGGCCAGGGTGGCGGCGGCGGCTTCTATAACAGTCCAGGGAGACGTACTATAATTCAAGTCAGAGTCGGCACTGGCAAGGCTGCTGATCCTGTCAGAGTCTGTTGTTGGAGGCTTCGGTCCGGTCTCGCCTAGTACGGGTCGATCCAAGTCGGACCCCTCCGCGAGGGAGTCTATGGGGCTTATACCGGTCACAGCAGCTATGGTTATCAACGCCTTTAAGGAGATGGAGGTCGGCGAAGCGAATTTCAAGTAGTATATACGATCTTATGGAAGACCACGGTGCTGATTATAAGGTTTCATGGTAAGGAGGCGTTTATGATAGAGATAGTGGGAGCGGTCATAGACGTGCAGAGGAGGGCTGACAAGTAGTATACATATTTGTCACTAAAATCGAAGAATATGTCACTATAATGACCAGTGATGAGTGTTGTTGTGACCTGAGTTGTTGTCCCTATGAGCGTTCCTGTAGTGGTATGGAGTACACGATCGATGACGGCACTGGATGTGTTCGGGCCACACGATTCGTTGAGAGTAGTTTGTCGGCGATGACAGGTAAAGGGGCTGGTCTTATAAGGTCTTAGTGGTTTGGTTCAGATGCTCCTGTTGATGACATCGTGTTGGACAATACGTGTCAGTGGTTGGTCGCCTGCGACGCTTCTCTTCGGGAGAATACATCACGGGCTCACATATTGAGCCCATATCGACGT